ATGAAACTAGTGACAGAAAATTACTTTGAACATGATTGTCGTGAAAACTTAATTGAAATTTCAATTTTCATCAGGACGATTTTGAATCTTATCAGTATTTCCATCTAACATGATTCTGTCATAACGGTAGCTCAAAATAGCTGTACTATACATCAATATTATTATCAATATATGTTGTACTAATTAGAAATATGGCAAAGGGACAAACATAGTGATATGCAAAAATTCATTATTTTCCTCCACAGATAATTAACATATCATTTGCAAATCAGTTAGGGCTTAAAATAATAGAAAGAGAATATACATTGTGACAGAATCATTTACTGAATGTTTCCAAATAATTTTCTTACACAAAGACTTATTTGTCCAGTCGTTAACGTAAGAGAACTATTTTCTTCACCGTTTTTAATTTAATGTAGAACTTCAAATGACAAAAGTTTCTTTATATTATCAAGATTTTTAACAACAATTTTTACACACATGCATAGTATATCTTCCATTGTACTATTAGTCATGTAAATCAGTGAAACATTGAGTACCTAAATGTAATTATCTTTATTGTTTAACCATTTTTCGGATCAACTAATTGTTTAATACTTTATAAGTCGTAAAGAAATTTTGATGCATAAAGTTATATTTATTAGATTAAATAAATATATCATTATTATTAATCTCTTGTAACTAATTAGTAACTGTACAGAATAATGCGATTGTTCAGAATACTGTGTTACTTTTATATTTAACTCTGAAAATTGAGAAACCGATAACATTTAAAATGTAGTCACAAACGTAGAAAAATAAGGATTAAAAAACGATCTATTAAGTTATTCCATATTGTTATGGCCTTAAGTTTCCTCATGAAAAGCGTACATATACAACTCATCCTGTATTGTTTGCTTATTTGAATCTTCCCATTGTTCACTTTGTATTGTTTGCTTGAATCTTCACATTGATGTTAAGGACTGAGATTGATCAGTCTCTTTTTGGCATATTGTGCGGATTGCCTTGATATTGCCTTAAGTCACAAGAATTATAACCAAAGATGGATAATGGCTAACAGTGGAATCGAAGATGCACGTTTTGTTCTATTTGGGACTTGTCAGCTGGATGTACTTGTACCTCAGAGTTGATGTTCACTTTGGGGCTCGAACCCAGTACAGTTCGCTTTAAACGCCATCGCGTTATCCACTTAGCTTGCATATAATGCTTGTGAATTAAAGCTATATCGAGGCACTCCTCACAGTATGTACATATGCCAATAGGAGACTGATCAATCTCACCCCTAAACATCAAAGGGAAGATTCAAACAAACAATACTAAGTGAATTCAAACTTCACCCCATTGCACAAACAAGTGGCTATCAGGACTGAGTAGCTAAGTGAATAATGTGGTGGCGTTTGAAGTGGACGGTCCTGAGTTCCAGTCCCTGAGTGAACATCAACTCTGAGGTGTAGATACGTCCGGCTGACGAGTCCCAAATAGGGCGAAACTCACGTTCTGGATTCCACTGCTAGCCACCATCCATCTTTGCTTATAGCACATACACAACACTGACTAAATATTTTATTTGATATAAACAGTATGGTAGTATCAACTTGAGTATCAAATTAACAAACCATAACTTGTGTTCAAACAACTAGATTGTACGTAGAAAAAAGACCTATCAAATCAAGTGCTTACCGACTAGAAAATCAGGACTGTATGAAATAGTTTTAAGAGTTGCTATGTAGATTTGTCTAACAAAACAGTAATACTAGGCATTGGAAACCATTTCTACTTCGTTAATTTATTGAAATGAATCAGTAAATTCTAGGATAATAAACATTTATGATAAATTATTAGACTAGAATGCATATTTACTGTGTATCTATAATGAATCTCTAATCTAACCATATTCAAGAGATTTCGTTTGGTCCTATTAGAATTAATTTAATCTCAGGCTGTTAGCCAACCAGGTAAAATTTTATCTGTTTAAGACTTTGATTTATGAGAATTGTTTAATCATTTTAGTGCTCGTGCATCTCCTAACGTTGCTCCACTACCTTGTGGATTAGACCTCTAGGTCAAAGGCTCTGGGAGTGGTCCCATAAGAAAACCACCTGATTCGGTTTGGGCGCCCGGGTAAGATCCCAGCCCTCACACAAATCAAATGGTTTATGTGACGCACATATATTTGGTACCTCTTTGTACCAATGTTTATGTTTAAATAATTAATAACTAACCGTCACAAATCCACTTTAAATATCCTGTTTTTGCAACATAATAAACCTTCGTGGTTAACAGATGACATAAATTTCAAAATAAATTTATTGATTACAATCAAATCAAGGAAACCTTTCAAGCCTGAAGAGTACGTTACGTGAGTTAATCTTTCCGGATATCTTTTATTGAACTCTCTTGTATCACATATGCTCATTTAGTTCACATATTCGATTAACGGCACCTTGGTAACCAACTCTGATATTTTTAACTATGCCAATTTTTAGAATTATCACTTCTTAGCACTCTACATTGGTCGATGTATAACAATGACCGTTCTTGTCAGGATTTAGTTTACCCTACTGTTGATATTTAGGATAGCTGACTTTATGCGCAGCGTTTTCGATGGTTAATAAATGTGTTAGCGCAGAAATTAAACCGAACATTCAGGTTCTGATTAATGTGATAGTGAGTGACCTACAAACTGACTTTCTGCTATAGGTTATGACATTTTGTGTTGATATTTGTATATAAAAGTTATTTTACTAGATAAAAGATTATTTTTCTGACCGACGATCGTGCCTTTAACTTCATATCATTCAGGGGCTTAAGTCGAAAATCCAGTCTCGTGAGCAGCTATCAACTCACCCAAATCCTACCATTGTATATCTCCGATCGATCGGCATTCTCTAACTTTAACAATCGGAAAGTTATTTTACTGAACCACATAATCCTACCCTATAAGTGTAGTACCCAGAGCTTTTGGACATTCATTTGATGGGTGTGCTGCATTCTGTTTTGAGAACGAAAATTATCCCTTCATTAGTATTAGATGTTTGAATCTTCCAACTGACGTAAGTACATCCAGCTAACAAGTTTCAAATAGGATGAAATACACGTTCTGGATTCCGTTGCTAGCCACAATCCATCTCCGCTTATAAAACTTGACTTAATAGCAATATCTATGCATTCCGCACAGGATGGACATATGCCAATAAGACTGATAAGTCGCAGTCCTAAACAAAAATTGAAAGATTCGAACGACCAATACAAATGAATTCGACTTCACTCTATTGCGCAAGCCAGAATCTATCTGGACTCAGTATCTAAGTGAATAACATGACGGTGTTTGGAGCGAATAGTACTAAATTCGTGTCCCGTAGTGAACATCAAATCTGAGACGGAGGTAAACCCAGGTGGAGTCCCAAATAGGATGAAATGCACATCCTGCGTCCTACTGTTAGTTACTACCCATCTCTCCTTATAATGAGGTTATCCCACACTTAAAAAATCTAATGAAGTTATATAGGTATAGGATTTATACTGTGATCTAACGATTCAGGTTGAATAATTATCAACGAAAGTAGTTTCCAGATAGGGATAGATAGATGAGTATTTTTCGATAGCGAGTGAACATTATTAAGAAACTCCCAACAGTTCTTTTTGATCTAGTAATGTTTCGATCACTTAACTTATTGCCTTAAATACTGGGAAGGCAGAGAAATGAATCATGTTAGTGGCTTAAATAAGTAACTAGATATACTGCAATTAAGGTAGCAACATTTATTTAAACTTCACAAACTTAAGTATGTTAATAATCATATTAATAATTGTGATTTTAGGTTGTATATAGCTGATGAGAAACCGTGATAGAATCAATTTATTTTATAAAGCAAACCTGGTTGTTCTTGTTCTGTTTAAATTTATCAGGCAATCTGGTTGTATGAAGGTAGCGACTCTTCATAATTAAGTTAAATCTCTTAAGAAAGTTTACAGAAATCCAGAATATTTTTCAACTTAATTTACTGTAAACATAATAACACTCTTAGAAGTCAAACAGCTGATTAAGTTACACTAAGGATTGTAGTCGATGATGATGCAAAACTAGCAATAAAATTATTCATCTTCCTCTAATTTTAACACTGCACCAGATAATTGATATGATGCCTGAAGACTAGACCTAACAGTCAGTTCTTGATTATTTGGAGAATGAATTACTTACAAGCTTATTTACGTTAATCACCTATGATTGATTATGTTTATTTTCTGTTCATATCCTATATACAGACAAGTTACTTCGCTACACAGAAAAATGTATCCACGTAGTTGATGTTCTTGTCTATGATTTCTAATCGTTCGGGGAATTCGGTCACATAATACGCTCTCTTAAGTAGCTAACAATAAGCCATACCGTATTGTTGCATTCACCTACCAATTCCATTTTACACATTGATATTAGCAAATGAGAATTTCCTCTCAGCAAAAACCTCCTCAATAACAGTTTTTATTCGCTTATTTCTCCTTACATTTTAGGATTACTGTCGGTGATTTTCTCTCTCTTTTTGGACGGCAATTCGTAACAACTAACATTTGTGCTAAATCTTATGCTGATTACGTCTACGTGAGTACTGTGAACTGTTTAATGAATCTGCACATTAAGATTTGTTGAGATTGAGTAGCAACCGATCACGAAGCCTCGCTAAATGAATAAAGCAAAATAGAACAAGTGGGTAGGAAATTACTAATAAGGTCAATGAGATGTCGATTTATATGCAAGAGGGAAGTAAAATAAACAAGATTTGGTGTCAATTTTGATATGATCGACTGTGAATCAGAAGAAACAATAGGTCACTGACTAGATAGTTATTCATGATTTTGAATATTTACAGCAAAATTTTCGGCCATCTTATAAGAGTAAGATAAGGAGATCTAACGAAGACTTCTTATTTGTATAAAAATTGTTTGATTTTAACCGAAAAATAGCAAAATATGACATGATAAGAAAAAAAGGTAAGGAATCTTTATATTATTTTAAATGACGGGGACAAAACTCCTGTCGAAATATCAAAATCCATACATGCAAAAATTCGTAGTAAATCATTCGATGAAATTTTTGCCTTCCATTCCGACGGAAAAAGAAAAACACCCTGTTGTGTTCCACGAGATTTCCAAGAAATAGGCTCATTTAAAGTTGTAATTTTGTTGGGACCAGCTGGTGCATACCACCAAGTTTCGTTGGAATGGTGTGTAGCAGGGGTATTATAGAGCCATTCACACCACAATGCTATACCATTAACAGATGAGGATGATGTAGTTAAAGTGTTTTGTTTGCAATGAATTAACTTTTTAGAATCAGCATACTGGAAATCTGAACCTAAATCGGAACTGTTTGGTAGAACCATATCAAAAATGACACAAGCATCGGATCTAGCCGTATTAGGATATTCCCACAGAGGATGTGGTTCAATTAACTCATCACTTTTAGCCGATGCATCTAAAACTAAATCATCGAATGGGCGTAGATCAAAAGATTCACAAGTGAATCCAACTGGCGAACGAATGCGCCAAAGATTTTTGAAGTCAACCAAAATAGCATAGATGCGCAGTCTAACAGGGCTAAATAAATACAAAGATGAATAAGCTGGGTTATGTGAAAGCAAGTTCTGAAAGGCATACCAAAAGTATAAAGAATCCCAAGGAAGTATTGATGAACTTATGTACGGTTCACTGATCAAAATTAAAGTTGATTCAGTCGGATTAGTTTTTGTGAACATGTTAGGAGTCATTCTTGAGAAAACTTCCTCAATCGATTGGCAACTCTCTATAATCGCCCGGGACGATGAAAACGACTTATAAATACGATCTAAAAGTAAACACGATGATGGTGATGTATCCAAATGGACTAATTGAAACTGCTTTGCATGTTTTGCTAAACTTTTTCCGAGTAAAAACGGTAAATATGTACAATCTGATACCACTAATACATTAAATAATGAAGTTGGGTATTTTTGTGATACCGTAATAAGTGAATTAATGATTTTAGTGGAAAATGTTTTGTAATCCGACGAATTCAACTCAGAAATGCGCGTTCGGGGCCATACACGATGAAGATCACATGAGCATGATAAGCAGGACATTTCATTTCGGACATCAAGTGAAGAAGTATCAGGTTTAGCATTAAAATTAGGTACAGGAAGTATGTCGAATCGCATGGACAATGAATCATGAAGATATCTGACCATAAACGACTCATTTTTGATTAAATAGTGAGCAATCTTGGGAAAGTACACCGCTTGCATCCAATGATCTCGCCAAGCAGAATTAGGATCTCCTGCCCAAGTGGGCGCAACACTGATTGGTGGAACTGAGTTTGTAGGCTCCATTTGTAAAGACCACCACACAATAAATGCATGAGCTGTACCAGACTCAAAAGTAGTACCTAAAAATGATTATTTTAAAGACAGAAAATAGCTGTAAAGCATTTGATGAGCAATAGTAGTGATTTGAAACGCTTAGTTCACTGAAATACCGTAATGAAAACGTATAGTTTATCTGAAACATATAATCCATCAGTGTAATGCAATTCAAAACTTACAAGACCACAGAAAATGATCACAGAATTCGGGGATACCACAAAGTTACTTACGTCATGTAAATAATAATAATAATAATAATATATTGTACAATGCCTCTTTACAAATGATTATTTTGACTTTATGTTCTACTGGATATAGGATACTGACGTTTAAATGTGTAAGTACGATTTACAGTGAGTTTAAGAAACTGGTATGGGCGTTTCGTAGATATCAGTAGTTAGACAAGTAAAGAAAGGATAGCATAAAACTGTGAGAGTTGACTGATGAAATGACTAATTATCATAACAAATCCTGTACTGACGGAGTCAGTCAGTCAACAACGTAAAACTTCGTACGTACGTACATCAGTTCGAGTTGCCATACCACATCAGCACAGAGATACAATTGTCAATTCAAATCCCAATGCGGTAGAGGTAGTAAGAGAGTAAGCAGTAATCGGAAAGATTAGGGTTTGAAGATGTTATTTAAAGAGTATAATCCAGTGAAATAAATTTGGAAAGAGGGAAAAAAGAGACACGAAGAATTCAGATGATTAGAATTTGGGAGAACACAACGAGTGGATCTACCTGCACCATTGCAAACGATTTCGAGCCAAATCACTCAACGTCTCTAACCATCTCGAATGACATGGCTCAAAATCGTTTGCAATGGCGCAGGTTCATCCACTGACGGAAGTGATGACTGATGCTTCTTAGCTTTATAGATCACAGAAAGTCGAGTCCTAGCACAGTATTTTAAGTATTTATGTTGGATGAAACATTAAGAAAATATTTATGACGCTAATTACTCATAATCGTTTTACAGGCACTGATTCCGGAGTTCTCCCAGTTATTTAAAGACCTATAGTAATGGTAACAATAGACCACGTTTTAGAACCTAACTCATTACCTTACCTTTTGGATTCATGGCCAAACAGGTGGTTGCTTGACACCGTATTACTTTAGCGTAATTATGGAGGGACTAATTTTGCAAACCATCTTAAATAGTTGATTACATCATAACACAGCATCTAGTAACTTTATTTGTGCGAAGTGAAATTGTAGCCCGGAAATATCTGCGATTTTCCAAGAGAAAGATAAGTAATCACTAATCTCATCATACCCAATAATGTAGCAATAGGCTTACTAAAAGTGAGTAGAAACTTACATTCTAAATCTAACACATCGTTTAATTTAATAAGATCTGCAGGCGGTCCAAAGTTAAATCGTTTAACCAATCGAGGACTCTTCAAAAGACAGCGTAACTGCCTATCACATGAAATTAATTGACTATCTTCTAACTGAATCTCCGATACTTGAATATCAAATGTTGATGGAAGTCCTGAGCATGATTCGATTTCTGCATGCTGAAACTCTTTTATATCTATAGTCGTATCACCAATTTTATATTGAAATGGAAATAAGCGATGGTGAGACCAAAGAAATTGAGATTCAACAACCTAAATAATAAACAACAATCCGAAAACTTGATATTTTGTACGTCGATGTAAATCCTAGAAATTAACCCATGAACTATAGTTGTAAAAACAGAGTTTAGACAAAGTGGTCTTAAATGGAAAAAAGGAGAAATACTATTGACTACAGACTGAGGTGTTTTTAGATGGTAAGGTATCTCTAAAATAAAAACAGATACCCCCACTACATCAATTTGTGTTTTTTTGGTAAAAATGAGATAGATGCATTCGCTTGATCAATATATTTCACAGATAAAGAAGTGAACGTAGTGGTGGTACACAAAATTCAGTATTTTTAATCCATGTATTCATTGTATATTTCATGTTTTCTTCATATTCTTTTTTTTGGAGGGGGGTAATTAGTGGCTAGACAGTACTGAAGATTTCAATCTATGTGAAATATTTTGGCTTGCTAAACTGTTGTTTTTCACTATTATTTTTAGATATGAGATATAACCTAGCTATTCTAAAACTGTAAGTAACGCTTAAACTTAGTGTATTTAGTATTTATATTTTAACTGAACAATGGGTAGTTTTAGTTAAAATATCGAAGCAAATCGATAATTAGGTGGACTGAGTTACAAGTACCTGTAATCAAAGACTTCAATATGTAAATACTAATAAATGCTCTATTTATTGCCTTAAACTGGTCATATATTGTTGGTGGCAAAGTTATACTGAATCTTCACTTAATCTTTACTTTTAAGCATGTAGCTGAACGGAAGTAGATGTATTACGCCTCAAGTGGTTGTGTTCGCAACTCTAACATTACGTTTGGCTATTGTGATACAACTTTGCTATATAACTCGATGTTAGGAAAAAGGGTTCCTAAGATGTATATTACTAACACGAAATGTACGGAATAAATACCCTACAGAGGTTCCCAATATTTTAAGAGATCCGTTTGTGTGCTGTGCTAATACTTCACTACAATGTTTTCAAGACCATAAATAAAACTAATTCCATCCTCTTCTTTTCTTGACCCACTAACTAGAGTGGAAACACCTGTTTACTAGATGAAGCTCTTGATGTTAACCCAGTATAACCAATCCAAATACACTGAATTTGTCGATTATACGTCAATGAAAAAGGATTAGAATGCCTAAACTGAGTATTTGTCATTAACACAAAACATTGTAAAATTGTATTGAAATTCTATGAGTAGTGCTTACACTGAATAATTTACCGTAACAAAATGTCAACCTGGTCGATATTAATTTGCTTTTCATAAGTTGTAAATGAGATTGCATAACTCCAACGCTAAGCTAGGATTGGAATTAGATTAAGCTAAGTGTTACAATTCCTCTTATAATGACCCAGCTAGTCCTGTCGCTCAGTATTCTTGGACACCAATTCACTCGACAAGTCCCCAAATTAGAACATAGTTGGATAGGAACCAAATTATATCCCAAATAACAAGGGCAGATGGAAGTAACAATTAAAATAAGGAAAACGTTAGTATATTCATAGTTTTTACACGAGAAGGTTCTAGAGTCTCCTACGAGCATCCACCAGCGCTGACTGGCTATTTCTTAGCCAATCAGCGTGCCCCCAACATAATCCTGCACGGAACATGCTTTAATCCAATCTATAATATTCCACTGACATTGAGTGACTTCGATTCCCTTTTTTTACCATGTTATCAGGGACAATTCAGGGGAAACTTATAGGGAAGCGAATAACAGTGGTTTAGATCAGTTATCCCAAGATTTACTTTCTGACTCTTAATGTCGAGATAACGACTGTGTGAGGGAACAAATCGAACCTGATAGACAAACGTTGTACGTAGGTAGAATGTCCAACGGATCATCTGAAATTGCTAGTAAACTGTGCTTTCACTTATATTCGGTAGTAAATATGATATGTGTAGGGGACAATGCACAATATTAGATTTTATCTTCTAAGAGCAGTACTTGCCTCTAATCCTGTACCCACTCTGGATGGTGAGCAGATAAAAGTAGTCGAGAAGTTCGTGTGTCGAGGTAGCTGCATAAGTGCTGGTGGGGGGGTGAGTGATGAGATTAATGCACGTATAGTGAAAGCCAGAGCGGCTTAGGCCAATCTGGGCCAACTTTGGAGCCTTCGTGATGTTAGTCTGGCTGTAAAAGGTCGAATATACGCGTCGGTGAGAGCAGTTTTGCTCTATGCTTGTGAAACCTGGTCTCTCCGAGTTGAGGATGTTAGACTACTCTCTGTGTTCGATCATCGCTGTCTCCGAAGGATTGCTGACATTCAGTGGCAACACCATGTTAGTAATGCAGGGGTTCGGCAGTGTGTTCGGGCACAGAGATGATAATTCAATTGGTGTCACCATCCTGAAACACCGACTTCGGTGGCTTGGACATGTTCTCCGAATGTCGTCCCAGACAATTCCACGTCGTGCATTATTTGCAGACGCTGGGACTGGTTTGAGAAAGCGGAGAGTTGATCAGTGTATGACATGGTGTCGGGGTACGAATGAAATCTGCAAAGGGCTGGCTTGTGTTGGTCCTTCACGACTCCCTGGTTGGGGTCCGAGAGATGGTGCAACACTGGCTAGAGACGTTATCAGATATGGCTCATAATAGAAGCCAGTGGCGATCCTGCTGTAACCCTTTACTTTCTTCATAAAAAGTGGTTGCTTCTTCCTTAACTGAAAGATTTCTTTTGGTTGTACCTTTTCGTTTCCCCAATTATTATTACGCTACCTTACCTTATTCTGTTCGTTATTGTTCTTTTTTTACGCTGCTCACCTTTTTTCCTTCTCTTCGAATTCCCATTGTTTTGTATGGCGTATATATATTTGGTGCCCTCCTGTACTAATATTTATGAGTTCAAATAAATAAATAAGGTATCCATAAATCTAGATATCCGTATCACATACAACACCATGATCTACACTGAAGTTGTGAAACCTAACAAAGCTGAGGAAGTTCAACAGATCCCTTAGTTCAATAATCAAACAATGTTAATTTTTTTCATTTATTAGAAACAATACGAAAAAATATATGAACTATTTCCATTTGTATTTTTAGTATAGCCTTGTTTTTCCGGGGTAATTTCTTGAAATACTGAGTCATTTGTTTTGGTATTTGTTTATTTATCACAAACACTTCCCTACCCTAAGTCGCAGTATTTAAAAGGCATTTTGTGGGGAAACGCTGTGTTATGACTGAACTTTTCACAAAAAGGATAGAAATGTCAGCCCAATGAAGTATCAATTTTGCTTACTGACATAGACCAACTGATGTGGCTTAGGAAAGGTTTAAGTCCATTAAGCAACATGTAGTAGACGCGGAACTCCTCCTGGAGCTCTCCGAGGCTACTTTTGGAATCAAGCCCGTGTAAACGGGGGTGTAGGGTCAGTAACCACAACTCGTAAAAATTAACCTCATTGAGAAACGCTAACCAAATAAAACCACTCAAACCATCTAAACTCTAGCCTGTAAGTTGAAAGGTCTTCATATGGAAGGGTTGTGACAGTTCATGGTAAGAGCCAAGATCCGTCAAAAGATACGAGGTCAATACTACTAAGAACTAGGTCACTAATTAGTATGGGTACATGGAATGTCTGGACAGTGTAGGAGACCGGGAGTTATTCAAAAAATCCTGAAGTATAGCACAGCAAGAACCAGCTAAATTATACTTGGTGGTGAGGCCCTGAAAGAAGTAGAAGCCTTTACATCCCTGAACAAAACCACTGACAAACAAGGAGTACCTGAAGAAGTTAAGTCAGTCAGCTACAACATAGGACCAAGCACATATGTGCATCAGTCCAAGTTGCCATACCTCGTAAGCACAACAAGATGAACACTGGATCCATAGAAGTAGTTAAGGTACAAGCTGGCAAAGCAGAGCAACGTCCCTACAGTTAAAGACTATCTGAAGCTCAAAAGAACTGTGACCTAAAACCGGTCAGATCTTTCAACACTAAATTAACTCATTTACTGGGTACTAGGCATGAGCCACACTCCAATTGCACAAAGGCTAATGATACTACTCGGTTACCCATACCTTATATTGCAGAATCTTTGACCATTTATATGTTAAAACCTGATTTGTGGGCACAAAAACAATTGATTAGATCTCTCATCATAGGTTCTGCTTGTGGTCTTGTTCATTTAATTGTTTCGTTTTCTACACTCTTCACTCCCCCATTTATATACATGATTCTAGTTTATTACTATAAAGGTTGTTTTGACCCCAATTGCTTGATTACTATTTATAAATCACTTTCCTCTTAACGTAACGATACAGTTATATATATATATATATATATATATATATATATATATATATTTGTTTATTCAAAATAATGTAGTCGAATTTTATATAACTAATCAAATTCTAAAAAAACATAATGTTTGCTGACCTATAATTTATCACCTACATACGACTACATAGCTTCGAAAATGAAATGATTGAAAAGGATTATATTGCTAAATAAACTTAATGGTTTACTGGGTATATTCAAGTTGAAAACAGTTAGGTGTCAAAAAGTGAAAATCGTGAACAACATTAACAGAAATTTCTAGGTACAGCTACTCTAAACCAACTAGAGATTAGACGAGTCTCAGACAAAATATAGACTACAAGTTAGGAACTAGGACTTATTGAGACAGAGCTGAAAAGACATTAAGTTTAGAGTTGACAACACATCGACTTCGCATTATACGTTTTGCAACATATCTCTGGTTAAAATTCTGCCATCAGCGACCAGAACAACAAACTGTAAGGGATATCAGATGATAAATGAAGCTTAAAGAAAGCCGATAGAAACTAGTGCACCAATTCACGAAGATATATATTGTTTTCAGTCATGTGAACAACGCTATCATAGCTAACAGTTATTCAAAGCAATGTAAATGATTTCATTTCTTATCTATCTCTAATTACTTAAAATGGTGTTACTTTGAGGTTTATGTTTTGAATCTAAATCAGTTTTAACCTTTTACCTTATAGTTCTTCGTTATTGTTAATAAAACAATGTGTACTACTACATCCACTGACCTTTTGCCTCTTCATTGATATCAGTCAATCAGCTACAACGTAGGACCAGGCACATATATGCATCGGTCGAACTTGCCATTCCTCATTAGCACAGTAAGATGAAAAAGCAGTTAATTCAGTGGAGGTAATGTATAAAAGAAAGATTGCATATGAGGATATAATACAGGAATAAAGAAATGGTTGGTAGAAAGAAAGATATAAAGTAATTTTAATCTCACGGTTTAAGGGAAGACAGAGTTTATGTACCGACGCCATTGTGATCAATTCTAAGCCATGTCACCCAGAATCCGCAACCAATGGTTACGATAGTCGCGCAGACCGCTAGCCAAGTAGTCTGCATCTAACAACATGGCTCAGGCCAGAAGTTAGTGAATTCAGGCACTGATGACAGGCCTTGGTTTGGCCGCCCCTAACTTCCTTCCAACCATCCCCAACACTAGTCAGCATTGTGCATCGTGGTAATCAGTGTCCGGGCATATGAAACACGTGGCCCAACCATCTCAGTCGATGAAGATTCAAAACCTCATCAACTGATTTACCATCATTCCCTAATACCCTGCGTCTAACCTCACTATTACTTACCTGGTGATCCCAGCAGATGCGAGCAATATTTCTGAGGCATCTGTGGTCAAATACTAGCAACTTACGAGTATCTTCTACTCTTAATGGCCACGTTTCGCAGCCGTAAAGTAGAACAGAACGAACTGCCGCGCAGTATACTCGTCCCTTAATTGATAGACGGATATCTCGTCTTCGCCATAGGTGACGTAAGTTGACAAAAGTCAAGCGAGCTTTTCGAATCCGTGCTGAGATATCGTCAGACACCAACCCATTAGAGCTGGTCACACTTCCGAGGTAAGTGAAGTTGTCAACGCGTTTGACTACTTCACTCCCTATCCTTAGTTCAAGTGTTAACGACCGTTATCAAACAAGATTAAGCCTTAAGGTTTGTAGTTTAAAATCTATTACCTCACCTGTAAATAAACCTGAGCAGCACATGGAATAAGAGAAGCATCGAGTGTCAGTAAGTGCTCGGCTGCGTGTCTGTATGTTTCTAAGGCACCTTCACCAATTAATTCGGTATCAAATAATTCTGCAACCAACACGTTAGCTTTGCACGGCATATCTACTCCAACAATTAAATCAGTGGAGCGTTTCGGTATGATGTTAATTTTGTCACTAAACCCATTGTTCTGTAATATATTGAGTGCGCACGTTGCCATTGGAATAAAGGATTCACAGGCAGTAACTAAATCAGCTCCAGCATTAACAGCCATCATACTCAGTAAACCAGTTCCAGTTCCAATATCGAGCACATGGACAGGATTTTGTGGATACTGCTGTTTAAGACGTTTAATGGTGTGTTCGATAGCTAATCGATACTTATGATTTCGATCGGAATCATGAAGCATATCACCATATCCAGATCGAGCTATTTCTTGGTTAAATTCATAATCTGGATCCACATCTTTCCACTGCATTCTTCCGACGACAGGATTAAATTGTGGAATGAAAATATGCTCTGTCTTCATTGACGGTAGTCGCACTGTCAAACTTCGACAGTAGTGAGATGTTAAACTTGAGAAACGAAGTAACTTAATGGTAATTAGTAATATATTGTAAGAAACTGTTGCTGCTACTACTACTGCGAAACTTCTGAAGTGTGGGAAAATGGATATTTAAATGTCTGGATAAAAAGTTAATCATACAAGTAAAGCTTCAGAAAAAAACTAGAATTACATACGCATATTACATCGCCGAACTAGGAAAGCACTGAAATAAGATAGTGCGAAAGAATTTTGGATGTAGGTCACTTTGATCAGCTAGCTACCACATATCTACAGATATGTTGGTCACTTTACTACTTTTTTAGGTATCATTACCAGGGTTTGACTTGATAATTTCGAATAAATTGAGCATTAGGTAGATTGTTATAAATATATTTATATATTTGTAACATCCCAATGAGTAGAAAAATTATACTCTGAAAAGGTGGCTTACACCGAGTCACGAAACGTCAGAAAATTTAATTTTTCTACTCATTGGGATATTACAAATGTATTAATTTACTATTTTGTTTAATACTTTTAGGAGCAGCGATACCACTTGTTTACAAAAAATAAAAGTCACCTTTAGGTCACAGAGCATGACCTAGTCGCGATGTTATATTATCAAGACCCAGTCTATACGTGCTTGCGTCTCACTCGACTAACTCGCATGTTTATCACCAGGATATAAGAGTACATACTCCAAAAAGGTTTAAAATACAAGTGACGCCTCAACACTAGAACTCTTCGCCACATTAGAGTCATCACTCAAAACTGCCGGAATAAGTGAAGGAACTCAACAAGAAATAAGACAAACCATAGTACCGCTAACCCAATGGAAGAAAGACAACACCCAACTGACTTCACAAGAACAAAAGGTTTTAAAGAAACTCAGGACTAGATGAAATATTGTCATAGTTCCAGCGGACAAAGAACGCGCTAGTGATTATGGACAAGAAAGAATATATCAGGAAATCCGGGGAACTACTTGGAGATAAAATCGTATACAAACCGACGAACTCAAATACAGTCAAAAGATAAGGCAACCAAATCTCAAGGACTTTAAACGAGCTTATCAAAGGAAAAATATTACATCAAGATCAATAAAAAATGAAATCCAATGGACCAGTACTCCCTCGATTCTACGGTAGGCCGAAAATACACAAATCAAACATCCCACTACGTCCGATCGTAGCACTCCCTGGATCCCCGACATACAATTTGCCAATAGAAATCTCACGAATATTGAGACATTTGATGGATTCATCTAGTCACTCCATCAAATCTCCCGTACAATTCCTGAGTCAGATTAAGGACATTCAAATCCTAAACGACGAACTGATGATATCCTTCTATGTAACAGCCTTGTTCACCTCAATTGAACCAAGCTTAGCAAAGGAGACTCTATCCCTGTTTCTCACCAACGACACAAATCTCGCAAAGTACACGAAGCTTCAAAGTCAGAGTTTACTAGAACTCATCGATTTATGCTTAATAACATATTTTCATAACAAAATCTACGAACAAACGAAAGAAACACTGATGGGATCATCAATATAATGACTTATTGCATAATTAGTGGTGCGGAGATTATTATTTAAACACATAAACATTGGTAATAGAAGGTACCAAATAGATATGCGCCCCACAAGTCTTTTGATATGTGTATGGGCTGTGATACTGCCCGGATACCCAGACCGAAGCAGGGATATAGGAACTGGGAGCCTCGATCTTACCAGTGATCAAGCCAAAAATTTTGGATTCGTTATGTGGACGACACATTCATCATAGTCAAAAAAGACAAGCTGGGAAACACCCATATTTATTTATTATTTATTTGAACACATAAATATTGGTACAATAGAGCGCCAATATATATGCGCCACACAAAACAATGGGAATTCGAAGAGAAGTAGAAAGAAGAAGAAAAAAAAAACTAAGGAACGCAAAAGAAAAGAGAACAATGACGAAGAGATTGGAGTAAGGTAGTGTGGTAGTAACGACGGAACGAAAAGCTACAATCAGAAGAAATCTTTCAGGTAAAGGAGACACAACCACTTTTTATGAAGAAAGTAAAAGAAGGTTACAGCAGGATCGCCACTGGCTTCTATTCTGAGCCATATCTGATAACGTCTCTAGCCACTGTGTAGCACCATCTCTCGGACCCCAACCAGGGAGTCGTGAAGGACCAACACAAGCCAGTCCTTTGCAGCTTTCTTTCATGCCACGACACCATGTCATACACTGACCACCTCTCCGCTTCTTCCAACCAGTCCCAGAGTCGGCAAATAATGCACGACGTGGAATTCTCTGGGACGACATTCGGAGAACATGTCCAAGCCACCGAAGTCGGTGTTTCAAGATGGTGACACCAATTGAGTTATCATCTCTGTGCCCGAACACACGATGCCGAACCTCTGCATTACTGACATGGTGTTGCCACTGAATGTCAGCAATCCTTCGGAGACAGCGATGATCGAACACAGAGAGTCGTCTAACGTCCTCAACTCGGAGAGGCCAGGTTTCACAAGCATAGAGCGAAACTGCTCTCACCGACGCGTTGTAGATCCGGCCTTTTACAGCCAGACTAACATCACGAAGGCGCCAAAGGTGGCCCAGATTGGTATAAGCCGCTCTGGCTTTCACTATACGTGCATTGATCTCATCACTCACACCCCCACCAGCACTTATGCAGCTACCCAGATACACGAACTTCTCGACTACATCTATCTGCTCACCATCCAGGGTGAGTACAGGATTAGAATCCTGCCAGTCTTGTAGAAGTACTTTGCACTTCGAAGGTGCAAAGCACATACCATACCTACGGACACTGATTGCCAACTGATTAAGTGCGGATTGCATGGCTTGGGCATTATCGCACAGTAAGACAATATCGTCCGCATACTCAAGGTCGAGAAGTCTTTCTCCAGGCAACAGATCCACACCACCATTACTTACATCCATCAGAGCTGTTTCCAGAATGTCATCGATGGCAAAGTTGAAGAGGAATAGTGAGATTGGGCAACCCTGCCTAACCCCACTGCTCGAATGGAACAATGGAGAGAGGTGGTTGTATGCCCTCACTCTGCCTGAGGTGTTTTTATACAGGGCTTTTAGGATGTTAATAAACTTCTCAGGCACACCCTTCTTCAATAGACAATCCCAGAGAACAGTCCTATCCAACGAATCGAAGGCAGCCCTGATGTCAAGAAACACTACGATTGTTGGCCTTCGATAAGTATGGCGGTGTTCTAACATTTGGCGGAGAGTGAAGATATGATCAATACATCCTCGACCAGAACGAAAACCAGCCTGCTCCTCGCGAGTCAATCTTTCTCGGGTTTTGAACAACCTACGAAGAATGACGGAAGCCAATAGCTTGGACGCAATCGGAAGTAAACTTATCCCCCGATAGTTGTTACAAGAACGACGTGAACCCTTTTTAAAGATAGGGACAACTATCGACTCATTCCATGACGTTGGTACACTCTCTAGTTCCCAAACCTTTGTAAACAACGTCGTCAATTCCTTAGTCAAAAAGTCACCACCATCTTTAAAAAGAACCGGAGGTAAGTCATCTGGACCAGGTGATTTGTAACGCTTCAAGAGTTGGAGTTCCTTGTGGACTTCCTCCTCATTTGGTGGATCAGTCGTCACCGGCCATGGAGGGCAGGACAGTCTGACCGATGTTGCCGGAGCAGCAGGCCAGTTGAACTGCCCTTCGAAAAATTCTGCCCATCGTCCAAGACGTCGATGGATGTTAGTGATTGGCATCCCATCATCCTCGCAGATTGTTTCACTCACACCAGACTTCTTGCTGCCAGTGGCTCGGATGAGCTGGAAGAGCTTCCGGCAGTTACCAGATGCAGCTGCTGCTTCCAGCTCATTAGCACCCATCGACCACCAGGCTTCTCAGTCCTTACGCAAGCTTTGCCCAATTTCCTCACGTAACATCCTTCGTTTATGGTCAAACTCACGGTCACCCGGAGTAGACCGACGGGCTTCAATGAGTTGTAAGGAACCAGAAGAAACCCAGTGCTTAAAAGCGGGACGTTTCGCAAACCCACAACTGACTGTTCCCACCATTTTCATGGCGTCATGCAATTGCAACCAATGCTCATCTATACTTTTCGGTGGAGTGGTAGCTAGCCTAGAGGCTAGCTCGGTTCGATACTTACTTGCAACAGAAGTTGCAACCAGCTTGCTAACATCAATCCGTTGATGGCGTTCACTTCGTTGTCCACTGAAAAGTAAGGCAAGATTGGCGCAGACCAAGGCATGGTCAGAGTCCAGATAGGTACTCCAAAAGGAGCGGCAGTCTTGTACACAACCACGCCAGCGGTAGCTGATCGCGATGTAATCAATCTGAGTCCAGGCTTGAGATGCAGAGGGAGGACGCCAGGTGGCACATCGGCGATGACTGTGCCGAAAGTTAGTGCTAGCCAGAAACAGGTTGTGGTCTGTGCAAAGTTGCAGTAGACGGTCCCCGTTATCTGACCTGCGACCAACGAGTCCCCATCGGCCACCTAAACGACTCTCTTCTGTGCCTAGACGCCCGACCTGAGCATTCAAGTCTCCGGCTGGTACTACAATATCTGTCGAACGCACTTTCTGGAGAAGAACTGATGCCTTTAAACACCCATAATTTGGTCAACAACGCCTTTGATGACATCAAATTCACAACGGAACAGAAATCAAACAACAAAATACCATTCTTGGATATATTATTCCCCAGAACCGACACATGGGAACTGAAGACTCAACTATATCGGAAGCCCGGTACCTCTAGAAGAACCCTTCCACGGTATGAGCAACCGGGAAGTGATAACCGCCCTCATACCTCTAACAGCACTCAAGACCACTGTATTCGTAATAAACTTCTCTCTTCAATTCCCCCTGCATCGACTTTCAACCCTAAACTTTCTCTTTTGGCTTCCTCCTCAAGTGTCACCATGGACAACGATTCTAGTGCTCAAAACACTGTCCCGGGTTTACTGAGACCTCGCTCCAAACTAAGTATTGAAGCCTTCAACGTACGCACGCTATGTCAAATCGGTCAGCAGGCCCGCCTCCCCTCTCGAAATGCTCTCACACGGCCACGCGTATACAGCCTCTGCCAGGGAAGTTCTACTCACTGACTTCTCGTGACGGGGGTGTTGTTTACGAAAATGAGAGGACGAAAAGCGGATGTCCGGCGCTTTAACCGGATCACAAACCAAATCAATGTTGCGCATGGGCTCCAGTATCCTGAGGGAACAAATGGCGTATGAACCAATTTTCGGTCACCGGCTACCATGGGACTGAATCTCCTTACGATGCACCACTGCCTTGTGGGTTAGACCTTTAGGTCAAAGGCTCGGGGTGTGGCCCCCTAAGAAAACCACCTGCTTCGGTTTGGGCACCCGGGCAGTATCTCAGCCCTCACACAAATCGAGTGATTTGTGTGGCGCATATCTACTTGGTGCCTCCTTGTACTAATGTTTATGTGTTTAAATAAATAAATAAATAACCCACATGAATCAAATCCTCAATTACAGTAGCAACAAACCAAGAGCTCACAAAATCAACTGCGTACAAACTTTGTTCAAGAGTGCGAGGACACACTGCAACACACTTTTAGCGCATAAAAATGGAGACAAATACCTGAAGGCTATCTTTCAAAGGAACGGCTTATTATTTTATTTATTTTATTTGAACACATATATATTGGCACAGGAGTGCGCCAAACATATGTGCGCCACACAATTTCAGTTCATTAATTGCGTGTGGGCTGCGTTACTGCCCGGGTGCCCAGACCGAAGCAGGTGGTTTTCTTAGGGGGCCACACCCCGAGCCTTTGACCTAAAGGTCTAACCCACAAGGCAGTAGTGCATCGTAAGGAGATTCAGTCCCATGGTAGCCGGTGACCGAAAATTGGTTCATACGCCATTTGTTCCCTCAGGATACTGGAGCCCATGCGCAACATTGATTTGGTTTGTGATCCGGTTAAAGCGCCGGACATCCGCTTTTCGTCCTCTCATTTTCGTAAACAACACCCCCGCCACGAGAAGGCAGTGAGTAGGACTTCCCTGGCAGAGGCTGTATACGCGCGGCCGTGTGAGAGTATCTCGAGAGGAAGGGCGAACCCACCCCGTTCTCGGCCATACCAGGGCGTTTGGGGGCCAAAGGAACGGCTACCCAATCAACATAAAAAAGTACCAACCAAATGCATCAGCACAAACAAAATCAACTACAGAAAACAACAAACAGAACATCCTACCATATATAAAAGACATGTCAGAAACTAAAAGATTATTGAAACCTTTTGGAATAGGTGCAGCACACAAACCAGCAAAATCACTTCAATTAATCCTATGCAAACCATAGGACAAAATGACAACAGAAAAACCGAACATCTACAAAATAAATTGCTCTAACTGTGAAAACACCACGTCAGATAAAGCGGATGCCCTCCTCGTTTCCCATTGCACGAACATTAGTTAGCGGTTAAACGCAATGACATATCCTCGCTTTTATCACTGAATGTGGGCACACATTCGACTAGAAAATGTTGAGAAATTGGATTGAAGTAATTCTAAAAAGACCAAAGAATTTTTAGAAGCTTGGTACACAAGTCAATTAGTGGTCAACAAACACATTGAAACCTATCCAAATTACTAACAAGTCAAATAAATTACGGACAATTATAGGACCAAGGATCAAATCAATGGGAGATACAATCAAAACAAAGTAAGCAATGACAGGTTAAAGGTCAACAATGACCAGTCAGCGTCGAGGTCTACAGGACAGGCTGTTATATGTGGAGAAATTCGGACACTTCACTCAAGTTTGTGCTGCTGATGACGTTCAGAATGATGGTGAAAGCTCAACGTTCAAACCATCCAGCTCAGAGAACAAAACTCCATCGAAATCGCTAGTACCTTTCATATCTTTTTGGGAAATATAGGGGTTCGCCATTTAACTTCCAGCACTTTAAAACCCCAGAGATTTTAGCCTATAAGCCTGAGCCACTAAATTTGATGACGAATGACGGGAAAAACAGCATGAATTATACACACCCAACCTAATTTTTCTGGCCAACCCCCCTCAAAAAAGAAAAATAATATGAAAGTATTGAGTAAGCGATAGTACCTATTGAAAGAATGTGGATTTTTATCGTGTCTACACGACTTCACAACAAGTTCGTCTGATGACAACAAACTGTCGAGTGGTAAATGATCCTTCTAATCATTTTACAGTCTCTAATACCTAAGAAATAATAATAAACATTAGGTTTGTCCCTAATTTACACTGTCGCTATGATAAATAGGACTTGAAGGTTAAGCACCTAACAGTCACGAGGAATGTAACGTTACCCTTATAAGATTGCAATGATCAATCCTCAATCACTTTTTGGCGAATGAGTAACTTCAGTGAACCAAATGTTCTACTATGAACTGAGTCGAACATTTAATCGCTATAAAAAATCTATGCTTCACAGATACTTTAAAGTTGGGCAGACGATAATGGACTTACCTTTAACACTTCAAAGTGTAAAGTAGTCCATCTGCGACATGTCGCAGACTACAGTTATAACTTAAGTAACTCCTCTCTAGTAGTAAACCAAGTCGAAAAAGATTTAGGAGTCCTGATGTCCTACGATTTAAAGTCTTACGCTAACTGTGACAAACTTGCCTTCCGAGCGAACCTTGCACTGGTAACATTGAAGCGCATTTTTGGTCAGTTTGACGGAAGAACTTTCCATGTAATCTTCAATAGTTTATCCATCCCCATTTAGAGTACAGAAAAATAGTAATTCATCTCTCACTCCAAAAGTATAAGAACACCCTGGAACGCATCTAACGGCGAGCCACGAAATCAGTTCGAGGACTCACATTTAAACCTTACGAAGAGCGCCTCCATTCACTTAACCTTTACCCATTAGAGTATAGGCATCTTAGAGGTGGCCTTCTAATGGCTTACAGTATCCTTAACACCTCTGGACATCCTGTTAAACACCTTCTTAAGCTTAGTTCCAACACTAACCTAAGGGGTAACACCCAGAAACTGGAGACACAACATAGCAGGACGGACTATAGACACAACTTCTACTCCTTAAGAGTTGTCAAATGCTGGAATTCGCTGCCGGCCGAGCTAGTCCAAGCGACTTCCCAGGAGTCCTTTAAGAGACAACTTGATCTATTCTTAAGGATTAAGGATAGTATCATACTATGATTTACCAATTTCTCTTTCCTCTTTTATTGTTAACATACCTAGGTTCCTGTCTGGAGGTTTTGGTGATCCCCTGCTACTAGACACGGAAGTCTGTTAAGCGAAAGCTTCTTCTATTCCATCCACAACCATTTGAACCACTTATGAATCCGTGTTGAGAGATGAACAAACATCCATCGAAAGAATATTGTCGATGTTGTGGGCCGCAAACTACCTAAATATTTCTGTCAGCTAAAACTCAGCCTTGACCCGTTAATAGATTTAGGCAGACATATCCCAAACAAGTGGCAATGCGACGTAAAGGAGAAAGGTTACATGAGTTCCTGTCTGTTTTTCTTCCTTGTCGTATGATGCTGGTGAAAATATCTTTTTGAATAAAATTCAGACGAAACCAGCACTACTTCTGCTTTGAAGGCATGAGATTTTATATTATTCCCGCAACTTTCGACAACTGGGGATCTGTTAAACTTTCTCCCTAAAACAGAAGAAATAGTCAACATTTGATTTTAAGATGGTTAAGAAGATTTGTAGCTCAGGTGGATGATTTTGATGGAGTTTTGTTCTCTGAGCTGCATGGTTTAGTCATGTAGCTTTCATAGTTCTTCTGCACGACGTTGCCTGACGTTTGTGCTGATGATGACGTTCAGAATGATGATGAAAGCTTCACGACTGAACCACCCAGCTCAGAGAACAAAACTCCATCGTAATAGTCAACATTTTGGTCTACTTTCTCCTGATTTCACACTAAATTTTAAAATTTGATTTCCCCTTTATCCACCTTTTCGTTTTGTTGGATGGTCCCGTATTCACAATCGTGTACAGTTTACCGGCGTAAACCGTTCATTTCCTTAAAGTGAATACTACTCTAGGGAGGTGCCGCGGAATTCAGTGATGCTTCCATTGCTCTTCTCAGTTCAAATAAACGTTATGGACTAATTATTGTTTTCTGGGATTCCTACTTTTGCCGATGATGTGAAACTGTAGAGCAACATGAGTTGTTGAATTCGCTTCCGATGAGAACCTAATAACTCTTCTGGTTCGAGTTTATAACGAAGGTTGGGGATTCAGTACATTCGTATGTGCTCATATTCTTTATTGAATTTCACTCACAAGTCCTTTCACAGCTACTGCAGTATGACTGAACATATGCGGACCTAATATTTCGTAGATCCTTACAATATTACTTCCAGAACCTTCAATCCCTGCCTTGGACCACAAAACAGTCAACTTGTAGTGTAAAACCCTATCATGTTTCTGGAGTTCTCCTGAGATTAAATTTGTTGAAGTTCAAGTGTGGAGCCGTCCAACTCTAGCCTTAAGTTTAATAGGAGTAATGTCTAATTTGGTCTAAGTTCACCGATCTATTCTACAAGAATAATGGACCTAGTCCAAAGTTATAGATTTGCCATGATATGACTGCCTAACCCATAAGCTCTTACTTGGAAGTTCTATCGCTGCCTATACTGCCTAATCTTATCGTGATAGTCAGAAATATGCTTTTAATATGTTCTGAGTAACACATTGGAGCCGGGGACAGAACAATATATTTAACACGAAAAGGATGAGGCTTCACAGAGTGGCCACGTCCGTATATCTGAGCCACGCCATACGGATTACGTGTTTCTTCTTGCACCATGTCTGACTGCACTCCAACTTTTTTGTTCCACGATCCAGATGAGGGCCTAAAACTACCACCAATCTGGATTTTTCCAAATGGTATACGAGGGTTTACTACTAGCGTTAAAAAACCATTTTTATTGCCTCTTTTTACTATCTCCAGGTTTGAATTGTTGAGGGGAAACAACTTTCTCACTAGTCAAAGGATGGGGTTATGTGCATGCCTTACAACAGATTTGGAGGCTGTATGCTCTGATAATGTTTTGTTTCCCAGTTTGTTCCCCACCGTCGACTTCAGTAGATATCGACGAGGAATGATGAAATATAACTCTTTAATAAACTTCATGATCTTTCATATACTTGATCAAGTTGGTATATGATGGAATGAAGTCAGTCAAATACGATTATTTTTTCATACTTACTTTCCATCAATTAGACAATGCTGATATTCAATTTAAGATACGGATCGGTACCTAAACAGTTTGATTTACAGCAGCTAGACATTTGTACGTATGAGGGAGATAAAAACACATGTACATTTAAATACTCACTGTGCCCAGGGTTGCATATACGAATAACGGAATAACCAAAAAGAGTAGAACAGTTTGTTCGTCTTAAAGTGGGAATAATTCAAGTAGGCGTTATAACAAAGAAGGTACAATATCCACACTCATATACATGGATAGTGCATAATGTGAAGGCATCCAGTTATCAGCCTACATCCTTGCTCTATACAGAAGGGGTTATCAAAGAAACCTAAAAAGAAAATAACTCTAACTGGGTTTCCATGTCAAAGTATATGGCTGGACGATCTCATAACCACCAAGGGTAGGGAAAAGGTGTTGAGTGACACAATTTGCCTGTTATCATACTGCTTTTACCCTAATAAAAAATGACTGAACTTCAGAGTAAGAGTGAGGCGGAAAATCAAGACCTCAGGAATATAACCGACGTCAGAAATAATAGTGAAACACAAATGATGGGCATCTAGTGATTAAGCCCTAAAAGTTGCTGCCAAACACTTTACCTGAAGGGCTCTTAAGCACATGACTTATTGGCACAATATCCTACCATTCAAAAGTGCTATTTATTGAGATATCGACTGCAGCGTAGGCGAAGAAACTTAAATCCAGTTGTGGCAAACCAAATTCTTGGATGCATAAATGAATTCCTTCCTAGCGAATTGCAGTCCTGGTCAAATAGTTTCAGCTGCCCTATGGTAGGTGACGTCGGCTTACTCTTTAGTAGGTTTGTCGACTTAAAAGCACAGTCCTCAACGGATCTGTTGACTATAAGATGTTATTCTCCGTAATCTTGCTAGCTTTATTCTTATAGATCAGTTATCCTGCCATATGATTTACATGGTGTCCTGTCTGTACTTCACCTGATCTATTATGATACTCGTTATTCCTCATTTCGTTGATAAGTCGCTAGGAAAGAAAAACACGGATGAAGATACTGACTTATCTTCACTGAGCTCCCTGGTTTACCTATGGGCTAATTACTTAGTCTGATCAACGGGATGGCTGGACTAGCATGAGCAGCCTCGGACAATGAAGGGCTAATCTTCAGCCCTTTTGTTTGGGCGATACGTCTGCCATCTTTTATCATTAGCCATCAGTAAGCTGGCAGAAAATGGCAAGCAATAAACCGGTATCATTTCCTATAGGTATCAACTCATAATAATCTACATTAATTACTTCATCGTACATCGACATAGATATGAAATTACAATAACGGCACAGCCGCACTATCGATTAACGCAGACGGTGAGGAAATGCGAGTAATTATTTGCTCAAAGTTAAGGGATAGTAAAGAGGACATTAGTGGTCAGTGAATCAACTAGAAGCTCTTAATAAGAAAAATCTAAGAGCGAAATGATACATTAGTTACTGACCAGCAAACACTGATGGTGAGGGCGATGACTTCAATCCACCCATGTTTGTGGGGCAGAACATTTTGTTTTTATCAGGCTCTTTATGTTTGAGGACAAATCAATCAGTCTGTGATATTTAGGTTGTTCTCTTACGCTCACAATTCAAACCCATGTTTCCAATTTTATGCCGGATTAGCTATTCTACTAAGACAACCTAAAACATGCTAACTCGAACTTTTACATTAGGACTGTGTGGCAGGCATCAGATGAAAATAAGTCAGGAATTAAAGACATATTTATGAATTTTCTTAACACTTTACTCTCCATGCGCAGTTTCTGTCACAACTCATTGTTTTTTATCACTGCTCTATCTCATCTGATGCCTCTGATCACATTTCGCTTTAGCTACAAGAGCTAGTATGAATTTAATCCAATAATTTATCATACCTCC